GAAAAAATCCACTTAGCACTCGTAAGGCTTCTCGAGATCTTTATATCGAGTTTAAATCTTTTAGGGATGAATGGAACGAAAAGGAGCAAGGAGATATATTAACTGGTATCTGATCGGATCATAGAAGAAGAATTTAGCATGTGGGAGTGACGTAACAATCTTCTTATAGAAGACAACAGTTTATTGGACTGAGAGATATTCTATTTGACGATCTCGAAAGTTGTCTCCTGCATAAATCTTGTGCATGTTCAAACTTTGAAAGTTATAATCATCAAAATGACCATTTGGGAACAGCTATGAGAGGGGTTTTTTGTCGATATATTTTCTACAGTCTGGCTAAGAAAGAACAATGCAGAATGATATGAATTCTAATTACCAGCAACAATTTAATGTCCATTGGAGAAAGATTTCGATGAGTGTTTCATGTCTTGGTTATGGAACTGCCCAAGACATTTTCATCGTCTGATACACCCAAAGATAATACAACGCTTCGTTTTGTTTGTATCTGTGTGCGAATGTGTTTCTTCTTTTTTCTCGTTAAATCTACAGGGATATTATTAACGATTTCTCAGTTTAAAAAATGGAAATTGTGAAACTGATTTCGATAAGGCATCTTCCAATGCCCATGGAATTTAATTCCTTCATAGATTTATCACTGAACAATTTTTCTTTGTACAATGACTACAATGTATGGGAGGGTTTTTGTTTTGTTTTAGTAGCTCCAGATCATCTGACCCTGCCAACACGAATATCTTTTCTTGTTGCAACATAATGTGACACCCAATCTTTTCTCCCTATCTGATAATGATTGAATATGAGTATTTCTTCACAAAAGTGCAAATTGTGTAACACATTTATTTTTCCATTTTACTTCGTAATTGTCATGCTCGGGGTGGGGAGCACCGGGATGAATACAAAACAAAGGACATGATATTAAGATCGACCTTTATGAAATGTTTACGAGTAAAAAAATGCGTGATAAGACCATCAATAAATTGCCTATAAAACTTCATTGAAAGCATGTCTATCGATACAGTTACGTGATGATGTGTCGGTGCTGAATGTACAACTTGTAATTCACTCGTTGAGTTTGGTATACACTACAAACATAAACTCATTGGCGTCGCTATGAGCATGAAGTCTTTCGTCTACGGCTGATTGTCAACGAAATGGAGTTAAGTCTTTTGTCAACTTTGTTTGGTGCTACGGCAGGCACCCAGTGAAAACGAATTCGTTTGATAAAATTATGGAAATGCAAGCACTACTTTAAACAAACAGAACTTTGCCATTCCTTGCTCATTTTTCCTGATTGAGGTGTCATATGGAAGGGAAACTTAACTTTCTAGAAATGTGGATTTCTCCTTGAAATTCAGATACCGTCTGCCAAATGACTTTTTGGTTTCCTCTCTTCAAATTCATTTTGATCACTCATTCGTGAAATATATATTTTATGTGTTACATCAAATGAAAGAGAAGGATCTAAGCTTTCCAAATATGTGTAATTTTTTAATTATAAATGTGATTAAGTTATGATAAAACATCGATAAATCTCGGTTTCGTTTTTTCTGGGACGCACTGTATAGAGCTGTACCATCACCTTCATGGATTTGTAAGAGACAGTAACGTTCTAGGAAACTAAAATATATTTTTTATAGCCTTGAATCTTTTATCAAATTGTTCGATTATAAATTCAATTACAAAGTGATGCGATTCAGTTTCCTACAACGTTTTTGTCTCTTACAAAATGTGGAGGAGGCGCAATGGCTCAGTGGTAGAGCAGTGGTCTCGTAATCAGGAGGTCCCGGGTTCAAAACCAAGTCAATCCGTCGGTCCCCTGGCTGTTTACTTATATAAGGTAATGCTTTCTTAGCTGTCAGGTAAAACAATCATCAAACAAAATTTATTTAAAAAACCCCGCTGAAATGGTGTATAAATGTGAAGATGTCGTCAGAACACGAAGTTTGTTTCGAATCTGATGTGGACCTGGTGAAGAAAGAGGTATAGCAGTATAGCGGTTCATTCATTTGACACTGGGTTCGAATCCCAGTCCAGCGCTGTTATCCTTTGACAACGCGTTAATCTATACATTCCTCTCTCCAGCGGGGTGTAAATGGGTGTCTGTTGTGCTTGGATATAACCGGATAAGTATCAAAGGGGAAGTCCACTCTGATATTAATTTGTTTTTGATAGAATAAGAAAAATGAGAGAAACAAATCAGTATCAATTTGAGTAAAAACCGACTATAAATAATTTTAAAGTTGCGAATCTTTTAAGGTCTGATCAATCAAACAAACACAAATTTGCACCTCTGTGAGGTATCCTTCAATAAGTTTTATCTTCCCTAAAGAAAATTCTAAATAAATATTCAACCTAAATATAACTATTGCAAATATGTTTTTATACAACCCATGTATGAAACGAATCTATTCCGTCATCATTAACAAAGAAAATTAAAGTTTATGACATTTCTGTACAGAAAAAAATGGAGAGGATCTCGTAAGGTACGTCAAGGTGTTACCAATTTGTGTTTTTACAACTTTAAAAAATTCACAACTGTTTACATTTTTAATCGGTATCTATTCTTAGCAAGGTGGACTTCCCCATAGCACTATACAAGCATTATTTTCACAGGAGCGCCATGGCGTGACGTGCAATTCCGCTGTATCATGTGCCACTATAATATTTCTTAAATTTATTATTGTCATGACTACCAGTCCTTAATTGAATTGCGAATTATTTATCATTGTGTATGGCAATGACACACATCTTTAGGTAAAACATTTATGGGCGAGACATGATAATTACCCCGTTAGCTTTCACATTTTGCGCTCTATAATATGATGATGAATTAGGATTTGGATTTGGATGGCCTGTCAATTTAGGTGATCTGGAAGAATAGGTTTTAATTAGTTCAGGTGTGGTGAAAAAGAATCCTCACTTTCTATCCTCAGAAAGTACTTCAAAAGGAAGGCAAAATAGTAATTATCTAACTGAATTCCGTTGATCACCCGTTAGAGCGATCCTCAACGGGCATTAATCCCTCGTCTTTTATGCCCAATTTCAATGTCGATGAGTTTAAAGCTACTTCTCCGTATTATTGCGGTGAATATAAGATGGGGATTATGAAGGGGCATGGGATTAAAACAGGTGATAATGGATGATGGGCGCGAGATGTAGGAGAGAGGATTTGCGCGGTCATCAAACAACATCGAAAGCTGGAGAGGAATAAAGGCGCGAAATCAAGGCGGTCTTGATGTTCCTTGAGGGAAATGAATAGGTAGGTTGGTGGGAGCAAACACCGTAAGTGTTTAGAAAGCTTCCGATCCCGCTAACTATCTTTTCCATTGTGGTAGATACAACCTCTTTCTTTCTTTCGTTCCCCCTTTATTTCTTTCTTTCTTTCTTCACGAGCCCTCTGGTATGCCAGTCTTAATTAAAACATCTTTCTCCAAGATGAAAACTAAACATTACGGATCAGATTAAAGAGGAGCTTTAGGATGGAGGCAACTGAAAAATATTTACGCTGCAGTACGAGGAAGAGAAAGACCACGTAATGAGTAATAATAATAGTTCGATCTTATATAGCGCATTTCAGGACCGCAGGCCCTCTCAAAGCGCTTTACAGAAGGTATATTATGAAGCACAATCATATACTATCTGTTAATCAACACATTTGCCTTTGCTTTACGAGCAAAGCCAGAGACTAATTTCTCACACTTTTTATCTCTTCATACTACTTTCTGTCCCGTTTTTGCGTTTTCTTTATTTTTTTCTACCTCTACATATCTCCCACCTTAATTTTCTTTCTTTTCTTACTCTCTAATCATTCGCCCTGTCTGTCTGTCTGTCTGTCTGTCTTATGTCTATCTCCCTCTCTTTCTCACCTTCTCAGCCACACACACACACACACACACACACACACACGCACACATTCTCTCTCTTTCTCTTTCTTTCCCACCTTTTTAGCCCCCCCTCTCTCTTTCTGTCTCTCTCACCTTCTCAGCCCCTGTCAATATTATATCTTCATTTCATATCTGTACCACACCGTATATACATTCTTATAATGACCAGGGTAATTTCACAAAAATGTGTTCTTCAGATGCAGTTACTAAACAATCAGTAAGCCGAATAGTCAAAATAACAATATGATGCTTGCGTCCCCTTTATTTAATCTCATTAATCTTCTGTTCATCTAACTTCTTCAGGTCTTCATATTGTGACATCAAACACTTTCACACCACTCCCTCCCCGAAAACAAATAGAGCATGTATCTTAACTCTGCATAATATTTAATTATTTCTTCAAGCCGTGTGATGTTGGAAACCATGTAACGATTATGTTGTATTAAACACGTAATGTGGTTACGGGTCAGTAGCACAGTGTACTAGATTGAAAAGATAACATGTTATATGATTAGGGAAGGCAGATCGACCGATCAATACTCTTTCATCCCCGTAGTAGTAAACAACTCTCTACCGGTCAATAAGTTTCACATCAGTCTTTTATTTCAAGGGCGTGCTCCCATCTCCATCTATATTGAGTGCCGATCGACGGAAGTGAGAAATAACCGACCCCTTCATGACCCAAAGAACACAATTTGCAAACAAGCACAAAGAACATGCCCAAGAAATAATACTACTTCCTCTGAATACTAAATTTTGCTTAATAAAACTTCCGCCGCAAAGCGTAATGATGCCTTATGATATGGCCCCTTTTTGTGTTAGCTAAAACAATTTTACGAAATTGAAAGATTCCTCGACTATACCCTTGATATGAACTTCACAAGAATTCTCTAATTGCAGTCGGAAATTCCATTAATATTTTGTGTGTTGTGTGTGTGTTGTGTGAGAAAGGTTCAATCGCTGCGAATGTACTTTTTGATGTTGATGCTAGCCCGCATGCGCAGTGGTGCGTAGCTCAGTTTGCGAGCGTTGATTGGCCGCCACCACCTGTGCGATAACTTTTGATACCCCTTCGGTATCCAATGAATATTGGTATGGTGTGAGCGTATCAAAGACGGGAAGTGAGAACAGGTCGCACCGACGACGAGAGTTTTATTGTTCAAGAGCATTTATTTCGCAGCAATTATTTCATGACCGGTGTATTAAACCTGCGTGAGTCAAGTGGACAAAGTCATTCAAACAGTTAGACAGAAGCTCGCAGTCATCACACAATCCTTCTCTGTTAGTCCAATCATGACACTCGCTCATAAGGTGTAAACTTTTTCGACGAGAGAGTTATTTTGTCAAGTCAAAACAATAAATTAGGAATCGCGGGATAACCGACTTTGGACCAGTGATTTGAGCGCTCGAGCGGAGATCGGGTGAACCACCGGGCGGTCAGCTACGGGCGTGAGGAGAGCGAAAGTTCGGAGACTCCACCTGTTAATATCAGGCGATCTCATCGAGAACATTTCTTCAACATAAACGGGAAATGGAATCACTTTATACCGCGGCAACAAAACATATGGTGAGTTCTTGACATTCTTGGTTCTGTTATGGGATGGGAATTTCCCCTGTTAATATAAATAATTAAAATTTATCGGTATTGCGGTCAATAATTGCCGATTTCTGGTGCCTGGGTGCATGAAGAGACCGATGTTTTTTTCTTTTTCATGTGTGTATGTGTATGTTTTTTTGACTGATTGTTTTTGTGTCTGTTAATTGTATTTACGAAATCATGTATGATGTATACATTGATGTTTCGCATTTATATTTCAGGTCCAATTTGTTTTCTTTTGCTTTAAATATGTTTCTTTTTTCTATGTATTCATCTTTTACTTCGCTAGTTTTTGTTTTGTTATTCAGGAAAGTGTCTGATTGTTAAGACCATTTTGCAGTTTTTACAATAACAAAAAGTATCTTGCAAATTAGACAGTAAAAGCCCCTTCAATATAAAGCTAAATGATTCAGATGAAAGCCTATAAAAATATTGATGATATAACAAGGGCCCAAGTAGTGACCTATTTGCAAAAATATTTGTTCACGAGAATTTATGATGTTAGCAATTGCTTTTCTTCCCTCCCTTCTTTCTCTCTATATGCTATCAAATCAGGCTTTTATGACAATTCTCGTAAATGTTATCTTTTTTAATGCAGTCACCGAGGCATCTTGCTATGTTTGAGATGTCACGAAGAGAGATCCTCGAGAAATATATCCATCAAAATGGGGAAGATGAGAGTGAATACCAAGAGAAAGTGAGGAGAATGAGTGTGGATACTACCAGTGATCACGAAGAGGAACGTGTTAAGGAGGAGCGGGCTGGAGCTACAGAGATTGATGAGATGGAGAGAAGGAGGGTCATGGAGGAGCAGAGGCGGATCATTGAGGAACAGAGGAGGATAGTAGAAGAGCAGCGCCGGAGGATGGTTGAAGACCAGCGAAGACAGCTCATGGAGGAAGAGGATGAGGAGAGGAGGCTCATTCTTGAGGAGCAGAGGCGGCGGATGATGAGAGCAGATCGAGATGAAGAGGAGGATGAGGAGGAGGAAGAGGAGGAGGAAAGGGAAGAAGATGATGGAAGGCGATCAGAGGATGAGATGAGGGAGGATGAACCCCCTGGTAGACGTGAAACCAGCCACGCCCATATTGATCTGAACATGATGCGAGCCAACGCCCACCTCAAGGAGATGATGGATAAAAACCGCCGATTTGTTTCTACCCGCCTGGAGGAACCCATCACCCAGTCCCCTCCTCCTCTCACCAACGGTAGTAACCATGACAACGACCATGATCCCTACCTTTCCCACCGAGCTGCGCATGGAGGCAGTCCTGATTTACCACACTCCTACATGAAAGCAGCGCATCCTCTCATCAAGAAGGAAGACGGAATCGCCAAGATGGAGATGGATATTGGGTTGAAAGATGAGATGAAGATGGGAGCAGGCCTGGAAGACAGAGATGGAGACAAACCTCAGACGGAATGGTCTTTTGAAGAACAGTTCAAACAGGTAAGATTTTCAGAAGATACCTCAAATTCATCTTTGATTTGTCTAATATATACTAAATTGGTGATTGTTAGTTTTACACAATTTTGTGTCAGGCTTTTTACACAATTTATAGAGTAAATTAATAATACCTCAATTTGTGTAACAAACATACCAAACCAAACAATAGTTTCCCTGACACCTGTTTATAAAGTGATTTAGTTTAATAATGATATATTCAAATAAAAGTTTATTCTTACATTATATAATATTTCGCTTAATTTAAACTGCATTCGATCACTTAGTTCTTCCAATATTAAGTATTGTGTATATGTGGTCAGGAAAGTAGAAACTTGTGTTTTGAATAATATTGGTCGAAGCCTTGTCCAAAGGATCTAACGTATCATTTTTAATGAGATTATTAATAAACCTAAGAGACATCTGAAAATAAGTTTTATTGTATTTGCCGAATTTGATCGATTTAACAGGTTTGAGAGCCCCCAAAGGGAGAATACAGGTACAAAATGTAATATTGTATTCAATAATTGCAAATTAGCCATTATTACGTTACCACTGTTAAAGACATTAAAACGTGTGTTCTAAAATTCTTTGAACTGAACAAGAGAAATGTTGATGTGTTAGTTCAGTCAATAACGCTAATAATAAGTGTGTTTTCTTTTGAGTTCCCATGCCCATCATGTGTTGAAACATGCCCCATGTGCTCTATTATCATTATCACAGCTTCTAGTTAGACGAAAATGAAAGCAATGAACCACTTTTGTGAAGTACTCCTTTTATAAACTTGTCTGTATCTAATTGTTTGATTTTCATCTATTTTTCCATAGCTCTATGAACTCTCAACTGATTCTAAGAGGAAAGAATTCCTAGATGACCTGTTCAGTTACATGCAGAAGCGAGGTAAGTCTTATTTTTCATAAGGAAAAACAATCTTACGAAAGGAGTAGTAGTCATTTGTTATGAAGTAGAATGTTTCCCTTTTCCCCTATGAAAAGCAGTTTTAACAGGAAGAGGAGAAACTTAAAGTTTGAGAATCAATATTTTTCCCACTATAATGATTATATTAAGTTTTTAGCATTTACAGATACCATGTAGGGTTTGACCAGCATTTTCGGGTATTAGGGAAAACAAACACACGAAGCTCAATTTATTTAATTACTGAAGATTTGGCTATAAGAGTACCCCCTCCCACACACAAACACACAAATAGCAATACAAACACTAATAACGATGTAACCTTTTATAAACACAAAGAATAAAACTGAACATAGTTGTCTTCATTCATAATTTTCCTCTATTTTAAGGCAAAAATAATTCAGGAATATATATTTCGCTTGGTGTTTGCTGTGTCAATTCTTTTTACACAGGCCAGATCTTGCATCCTTCTATTCTAAAATAAGACATCATACCTAAAAGGTCATTTTATGGATGTTTCCCTGTATGGTATTTTCAAATGTCTATTTTATCACTGCAATAAACTCCACAATTACCCGTCTGCTGACTACCTTGCCCAGTGGATTTTTGTTACATTCATAAAGTCCATTACGTTTGTTTACATAGCAAGAATAGCATTGCCTCTTTGCTACTAGGTTGAAAACATGAAAATATCAAAGGCATTCTTTACTATCTATCTACACCAAGGTACCTTGTCAGTGGTACGTATGGAATTAATGCGACAGCTTGAGACAAACTATGATAAGTGCGTTAAGCCTCCAATTTAATTGATATTGATTGAATCCATTAATACGGCATCCCGTGGAATATGAAATATAATCTAAGGGAAAATCAATCGCGGCGATCTGATTCGGCCAAATATAATCAGCCTAGCTTTGGATGAAAATGGTTAGAAGGACACTGTATTACGTAAATATGTATCTCGTCTGTTAAGAGCCAGATCAGCCCAATGACTACTGAATTCTGTCATTCATATAGGCATTGTACATGATCCAGTCGGTTCCCGTAATTCATGGGTTAATGCAGATCCAACGCCTATCTAGCTCTCATCACGTGATATAGTACCTACTGTTATGAATCCATCTTCTCCCTGCCTGTGCATTCTCTCAAGCCAAATGGCAAGAGATAAAACTTCATTTATGTATATTTCAGTGTGCGCGCGTGCGTGTGTGTGTTAATACGTTTTATAACTGCACTTGAACTTGTTGATGTTTTGCAACATTTCGGATGATAAATACATAAAAGCAAAACAAACACAAAATGGGCGAAGGGATACATTAAATTAGGTATAACAAAGGGAAAGAAAGTCCTCTGTTGTCGTATTAATTGATAATTAATTGCAGTCTTGTTTCAGCTTTCCAACATTTTAAGACACATGCCATGCAACATGAATCTGAATATAAAATAGTGTATGGCAATGAATTATTTATATGAGGTGGCCTTGGATACCAGATAAACCCGATAGATCTGAAATACCCACTATTAACTTTATTCTTCATTTTGTATACTCTGTCATCTTGGATTCAGTTTAAATTGAAACAATCACGGCTCTATTGGTTAATGGACTCAATTAGTGTTGAGTTGTGTCGATTTTATACAATGGGTTGCATAACTTGCATTAAATAAATAGTTTCTTGGAGATTCAAGGGGGCGGATGTTTGTATATAATTCACTTTGTAATATCACTCTCTTAGGTAGACTAAAACATATGTAGTGCGTCTTAATGCTAGACAAAGAAATAATAATACAAGAAAAGATGGGTAGAATCAACATATAAAAAAGGGGAACTGAGTTCTGTATAATTCAAGAAGAAGATTAAAAGAGGATTGGTGAACTTCGAGAAAAGGAGGTTGAAATAAATTGTAACCTTGACTATAACAGTATATAAAACAGTATATTACGGTTTGATGTAAAATGTAGATAAAATTTCCACGGGAGAAAGGAGAAAGAGATTCTGCATGATGTTCACGTACAAGCAATAAGAAATTAATTACATCAATACAAAGCAAACACTCTCAAAAGCAGGTTAATTGAAAGTAGATTGATGGCAGAGGAAAGTGCTCGTCATCAAAAATTGGGCGTGTTTGATAAATTAGAAATTAAATGACATACTCTGCAGCATAATAAAGATGGAAATAGCGGTTAAGTGAACGGAGTAGGTAATATGAAAAGCAAATATGAGGAACAATAAATAGATTGAGCTTTCCTTTGTCATGGTGATCACTATACTCATTAATAATAGTAGTAATAAAAGTGGGTTCTTGTATAGCGCTCATGTCAGTCAGATTCGACACTCGTGGCGCTCCACAATTAATTCCCCGGTTTTAGCATGGCTGCCATTACTGCACTCTATATAGCATTTCAAGGACTTAATTCCTGCCAGGTACCCATTTACCTCACCTGGGTCGAGTGCGGCAGATGTAAATTAGTGTCTTGCCTACAGACTTTAATAACGCGGGCGGGACTCGAACCGCGAACCATGTGATCCACAGTACGGTGACGTCTCCACTAGACCACGACACCTCCACACTCTCTTCGATACTTAATTCAAAAATAATTACAGTTTCGAAGTGTTTTATGATGCTTTTATGAAAATAGGGCAAGAAATGATAAGCAAACATTTTTATATGCAATTTTTAATGACCGTTACTATATAAGTATTATGATGACAGAAAAGCTTTATGATGCTACTGAATAGGAAATTGGTGGGTTTATTGTGGAGCTAACAAGATAGTGATACTTGCCAACCTAACCTTTGCCTGCTTGTTGTTTAATAAAAATGGAATCAATCCACTTATTCAATATATAAAGCGTGTTAGAGCAATAGTGGCTAAGATGTGTGGATCCAATCTTAAGGGGTATATTATTTTAGAAAGGAATGATTGCCTTATACTTTCGTTTTTATAGGCTAGATATTTTACAAAATTACAGAAAATAAATTTAGTCGTCACATGGGGCATATTAGTATGGGGCTTCTAATGGTATATACACCTGTCTCGTAGGAAGATAAGATTTTGGTCGATCATCTAATGATTCTGCTGAAGATTATGTTAACCCATGGATTCATACAAGTGTTTCCGCTGCATTCTTTGCACTTTCGGTCGTCTGTCAGAGCAGAGGGAAGAATCCTGGCAATTTTTGCTATTCTCATCAACCAATATAAGATTTCATGAGCCTAAACCAGCAGACAGTCGGCTCTACAAAAGCTACAAATTTATCCTCGCTAATCTATCAATAATGACAAGAAAACTTATAGGTGTCCGGCTGCACTTTATGAGTATGTTCCCTATAGTTGCCAAAAGTTGGACTAAGGCGATCTGTTTTTTCTTTTAAATGAGAAAATAAGTTGTTTATCGAAATGGCATATCAAAGTAGAGTTATGACAGGAAGGGAAAGATTGTACGAATAGGAGCATTTCGTAGGAAGATATAAAAGAAAGTATTATAAATTCAACACTTTTATATTACATGTCTCTTTTACATGTTGAGTCACACACCAGGTCATTTGGTCCTGCCATTTGTTTGTGAGGAATTTGAATCGAATTCTTCATTATTTGTCAGTGGTTGAGCTGGATGTAAACACCTCAAGATATAAAAACTTCACAAACAGGTTTCGTGTTTGTCTGCCAACTTAATGCAAAGCTTTCGCCACAAATTGGGCTTCTTCCTCCAATTCACCTCCGTTTTCTTCTCAATCTGGTGCTAAATCTAAAAGCTAACATGGAGAGAAGAATCGAATCACCGTGACAGTGAATGGCTCAATGGGAATCAGAAAGTCTTTTCCGTATCTTTTATTCTTTCTCTCATGCATCCAAAATTTGGTTTGATTGTTCTCGACCTGTTATCTCGCCTATTTGCTGGATTGCGCATACCAGTTTTGTCGGAGTTGAGGAGGGTGAACAAAAAATAATCCCCCACTCTTTAAGAGAGGAACTTAGCATGACAATAGGTCGTATTTAATCAAGGATTCACCCATCGTCTCAATCTTATGTAAAAGGGTTTAATCTTGCGAGCTATCATCCCTTCAAATTTCTTCCTGCTTTGAATAAGCAAACCACCAGTAGCCCTCTTACGTTTTTGCCACTGTATCCAGTTGAGATGAATAGATGGTGTTTACTTCCACTTGGTCTGGTTTGGTTTGCTCAAGTTCCTGAGGCTATCCGGTCCAGAACTCAATCTAACCTGCATATCAAAAGAGATTCCACTGCCGGAGAGAAGACAGAAACACTGAGAATGAGAAAGAATTACTTTTTCGGTGAAAGGGAGAGATGTAAGGGAACAAAAGAGGTTTAGTAAAAAGAGGAAATACCTTGGCTTGGTATAAAAACACTTGTGTATCAGATGAAAGGATGCTTAGTGGATCTTAAAGTGGTGGTGATGGGCAAGATGAAGTAATATCGTTTAGATCAATAAAAGAATAGATTGATTGGTTTCGGAGAACAAGTTTGTGGCATTTGCGAGGCATTGATGGTTTATTGTAAGATTCTTTTTGCACCTGTGTTCTTTAATTGATTCTGTCGTTCGGGCATTTAAGAAGTTCCTTGTCCTCTAAGAAATGTAAAATACTTACTTATCTTTTTTTCAAAGAGAAAGTCAGGAAATCCTTTTTTTCGCAAAAGTTTCTTAGATTGCATTTGTCCTTTTTATCAGTCTTCAACTGAGACCTAACAAGTATTTTGCATCAAATTTGATTTGAATTAACTCTTGGCCAGGAGACCTTGTGGCAGATTAGCCCTATGCTAAACAACTTATCCAATAAAGTCTACTACTCTACTACATGAATAATAAAATGTAATGAGTAGAATTTAATTTGTTGTGTGGTTTATATTTATCCTATATTTATTTTTTTGGCAGAGAAATAGGTGTCGTTTATTCATAATAATAATAATAATAATGAACGTTATTTGTATATCTAATGAAATTCTTTTTTTTTAAAGGAGTTACCTA